CTGGGTTCTCTCCTCGGCTCTGGGAGGGGAGTCGGATCTAGTGGGTTAGAGCAGGGGGGGCTGGGAGCCAGGACTCCTGGGTTCTCTCCTCGGCTCTGGGAGGGGAGTGGGATCTAGTGGGTTAGAGCAGGGGGTGTGGGGAGCCAGGACTCCTGGGTTCTCTCCCCAGCTCGTGGGAGAGGAGTGGGGTCTAATGGGTAAAGCAAGGCAGGGTGTGGGGAGCCAGGACTCCTGGGTTCTCTCCCCAGCTCTGGGAGAGGAGTGGGGTCTAATGGGTAAAGCAAGGCAGGGTGTGGGGAGCCAGGACTCCTGGGTTCTCTCCCCAGCCCTGGGAGAGGAGGGGGATATGGAGCGGGGGTGGGAGCCAGGACTCCTGGGTTCTCTCCCCAGCTCTGGGAGAGGAGTGGGGTCTAATGGGTAAAGCAAGGCAGGGTGTGGGGAGCCAGGACTACTGGGTTCTCTCCCCAGCCCTGGGAGAGGAGGGGGATATGGAGCGAGCGGGAGCCAGGACTCCTGGTTCTGTTCCCCTTTCTCCCTGGATTCTGTAGGTGCTCGCAGGGCGGCCCCAGCATCTCCCACCTCGCAGCGATTTCAGTCCGGGGGCGGGCAGCAAGAACCTAGAACCTGCTCCCCCATCCTCACCCCCCAGGGCACCCCACCGAGCCAACACCCCCTAGTGGGGCAGGACCCCCGTCTCCCAGACCCCACTCCCTCAGCCCGCCCCCTGGAGGGGAAAGGGCTCATGCCCCATCTTTCTAGTCTCTGGGTTCATGTGGGGTGCACAGGCTGGGGGGGGACCCCAGCGGCGTGGGGAGCGTGGCCGGGGGGAGGAACCCCACGTGCAGGGGCAACTGGACCCATTCAAGTTCCAGACTGGGGTCGCCTGTCGTCCCCCCCCCAACCACTACCTCTTTCAGCCCCGTGACTGACAGGTTCTTTTTCCGCTATGCAGAACCACTTCCCTATTCCCAGCACCTCACCGGATCTGGGGCGGGGGGGCTGCGGCCCCCCTCCCCCACCTGCCCCAGAGGTGCTTAGAAATGCACTGAGCGCCCCCTTGTGGCCAATGGGCAGCAGCCCAGCTGTGTCACTTAGTGGATTTAAAATAGTATCACAGCGGTGGGGGAAGCTGAGTGGGGTTATGTGTAGGGTGGGGAGGAAGAACCCAGCAGTCCTGGCTCCCAGCCCCTCCTGCTCTAACCCAACTAGCTCCCACTCCCCTCCCCAGAGCCGAGGGATAGAACCCAGGAGTCCTGGCTCCCAGCCCCTCCTGCTCTAACCACTAG